CTTACATACATTTAAACATGCGGAGATTTAAATAGATATTTTATGCTACCTCCGTGGCTCGTGGCCCGAGCCCGCCCTCCACATGTTTAAAAGTGGTCACCGTACATTAAGGCCAATGTATATACTATATGAGTACGTGGACCCTTAGGGTTAGTTGCTCTGGGCAGACCAGCGTTGCTGCGAGGCTTCGTTGATGCCTCATAGAGAGCAAGACCGGAGACATGACTGCCTATGAAGTGTTGCCTTCGGAGCAGCAGACTCTGGTGCTCCGAAGGCAACACTTTCATAGGCAGTCATGGCTCAGGTCTTGCTCTATATTTGATCACTTGAGACAATCTGGCTACGGCTCAAGCGATCATGGAGAGCAAAGGGTTTAGGGTTTAGGGCTTTAGGCTTACATTTGCCCCGGGTTCCAAGGCTTGAGGGCAAAAGGCTTGCACGGCGTAAGTCTTTCGTGGGCAGTTTTGAAAACTCAGTCTTCAGAGGGGTGCCGCAGGAGAGTTCATGCGAAACAATGTGTGCCATGTTCGGAATGGCGCCCCCGACCTTCAGCGACTCATGGGTCGTCAAAACTCCGTAAACCCCACACCCCAAAACCTAAACCCCAAACCAAAAACCCTAAAACCCTACACCCCACGTCACCCCACGCTCGACTGGCCCGGCCTGCTCGTAGCGTGTCAGTTGCTGAGCATAGGTCGTCTGCTTGTTTTCGACTCGCCAAAGGTACCTATGTATGGCATACATGGTGTGTATATATATATATATAGAGAGAGAGAGAGAGAGCTATTCAACTATATCATATATATATATATATATGTATGTATGTATGTATATGTCTATATGAAACATTACTTAGAAAGTTATATATGGACAGGTTGTCATAGCTGGAGCCACCCAAGGGATATCTAGTCAAGTTAGCGGATGCTCATAGCAGTTTCTATGCCTCTATAAATCTGGACGCTTCAAAAAATAAGATGGATTCTTGCGCCGCGAGCCCGGCAGGGTTTGAGGGACTCGCTTGCTAATCCCTAAACTAAACTGTAAGCCCTAGATCTAAGACATTTTCAGGTGGGTAGTTACCGTTATAGAAGCCTTATAGAGGCCCTATAGACCCTAAACTCCCCACCTGAAAATATCCTAGACCACACCTGTCGTCCTTTAAGAAGACTCAAGATGGCCCATCGAAGCTTCAGCAGGGTCTCTGGAATCTCGGAAAGGACCCGGACTTGTGCTTCAGGGTAGGCTTTGGGCCGTTTTGGGGGGTAATATGGGGGCCTAAATAACGAACAATATTATTTTGGGGGGGTTCCTTAGTATAGATACAGTATACTGGGCCCCAAAACCCTATTCTAATGACTGAGGCTCTTATCCCTACCCCCCTAAAGTCCTAAACCCTAAACCCTAAGCCCTAAACCCTAAACCCTAAACCCTAAGCCCTAACCCTAAGCCCTAAAGCCCTAAACCCTAAACTCTAAGGCCTAAACCCTAAACCCGAAACCCTAAACCCTAAACCCTAAACCCTAAGCCCTAAACCCTGAACCCCATCTCTTATATTAGGAGTCTCTGGCTTCGGGCCGCGGATGGCTCAGGGCGTACGGTCCGTGGCATTGGAGCCTTGAGGACATCCCGACAAATCCGAGACATGAAAGTCTCTAGGCTTAGGGTTTAGGGTTGAGGGTTTAGGGTTTAGGGTCTAGGGTTTAGGGTTTAGGGTTTAGGATTTATGTTGGTTGGTTGGTTTAGAGGGTTTAGGGTTTAGGGTTTAGGGTTTGGGTTTCGGGTTTAGGGTTTAGAATTAGCACGAACGCCTGCAAAAAAAAACAATCACAGACTACCCTTGAGCCTCCTTGAGGCAGATAACCCCAACAGCCCTAAACTCTTTGCCCTCGCCGGCGCGCAGAAACCGGGGCAAAGCCAGCGCTTCGGAAGCGTGGGTCTCTTCGAGGGGCTAAGGTAGGAGCCTCAATGGCTAGAAACGAGCCATTACAAGGGCGTAAGGGTTTTTGCAGGATCTAGGGCATAGGGGCGCTGACAGCTTGAAATGGGATTTGGGGTATCGTATGACAGATATTGGAGCCTATAGAGGAAGACTCGGATTAAATCGGGATTCTAATAGAAAACATATTCAAGCTTCTACACCACAAACCCCCAACCCGCTGCTCAGCTTTCAGCTGCAGTCTGCAAGCAAAGCGTCCTCGCCAAACCACTGCCTTCAGGTTTCAGGGTTTAGTGCTTCCGGTCTTGTTTAATGCAACGGGCCTCTTTCAGGGTTTAGGGGCTATGGCTTCGGGCTTTGAGGTTTAATGTTGCAGTGAATTCTTGCTGCTCACCGTGACATGTTCCGACGTCCTGAATAAGCCCCGCCCGGTGCATCTGTAGCATAGAAGTAGTACCGCAGCTGTGCCATCTGAACTGCTACACTGTATTACCACTCTACCTCTAGTCTCCATGTCATTGTAGTTCTTTTTTTGGTTAACCAACTTTTTTGGTTAGCATCCTATCTATATATATATATATATAGGATTGAGGAAAAAAGGAACTACAATGGAGACTACAGGCACTGTATTGCCACTGAAGGCTTTGGGGAAGCCCGGAACTCGCGCTCGGGGATTCGTGTGGGCGGGGGCTACTCGGGCGCATGGCTTTGGGGTCTTACCCTAACCACGCAGGCACCTACTACATATGGCCTTAGGGGCTCCAGTACCCTAAATAGTAGGTACCTCGGGGGTTAGGGTTAGGTAATTTCTAGCTTGAAGTTCATCGGGCTCAGGGCATTCTGCGTTTGCGGGGTGTAGAAAATGAAGCTTGAAGCCCCCTCAAACCCTAAACCCTAAACCCTAAACCCTAAACCCTAAACCTTAAACCCTAAACCCTAAGCCCTAAACCCTACTGCACCCCACACGGAATAAAACCAATACAAGTTAAGCCACCCTGCGAAGCCGAAGCCGAAGCCCCGAACTGCAACAGATACCCGCCACTGCCTTGAAACGAATGTAGGGGCCTTGATAGTTAGAATAGGATGTCGGGGGTTCCTTAATATAATAATAATATAAGAATAATGTAATATAATAAAAAATAAAATACTAATATAATAACAATAATAATAATAATGATATAATAATAATACTAAAAATAAAATACTAATAGTAATATAATAATAATATACTAATAATAACATAATAAGAATATATCATATCCCCAAACCCTATTCTAACTATTAAGACCCCGATATTATACTGGTGTTATTGCATGAGCTGTGGATTGAGGTTTGCCGTCAGGATGCGAGGGCTAGCCTTTCCCGAAGGGTCCAAGTACCTAATAATCATATACTCTCCCAGACAGTAACCTACATAACTACTATCCGAAACCTAAGTACCTGATTATTGGGTCCTTTGGGCCCTTGGGGTTTTAAAGGCTGGAAGCAAGCAGCTTCCTTGTCAGAGGATCTGCAACAGAACGGGGGCACCTGCTGATGAGCTGGTTCTGGGTGGTGAACATGATAGCCTGAGAGGGTTTAGGGTTTAGGGTTTGGGGGTTTAGGGTTTAGGGGTTTAGGGTTTAGGGTTTAGAGGTTTAGGGTTCACAACGAATCAAAGCTAAGCTAAAAGTCTGATCAGTGACGACACGGAGTCTTCAATGCATCTCACACAGCCAACGCTGTTGTCGCTTGGGTTGCTAGTGGTGTCTGCTGATGCTCGAATGAATAGCAAACAACTGTAAATACATCTAGAGCCTTAGCTCGGGAATTGAAGCCGTCCTCTAACCTCTGAACTCTAAGCCCATTTCAGTGTCGCCGTCGTTTCTGACGACGCCCATGTCTAGACGACTCTCCATGACCTCTCGACAGGGGCCTCAACTAATATAAGGGCCTTAATAATTAGAATAGGGTTTTGGGGTATATTATACTATAATTTTTATAAGGAACCCCCAAAACCCTATTCTACTTATTAAGGCCGCTACATTACGCAGGGTTCAGGCGGCAAGTGGTACTTCGACTCGGCACGATCCGCACTGACCCTGAAGCAAAACTGAGAGTGTAGAACTTTAGCGAGGGTGTCCTTCCTTCGGTTCTGAAAGCGGAATGTAAGGAATATCGAAATCCAGAGCACCAGAAAAGGAACAACTAGCGTAAAACCCACGCTGAGGGTAATCTTCTTCAACGCATGAGGTCACTTAGAATCTCTCAGTGCCGAACGCTGTGGGGCGCCACCTTCAACAGCTCGGGCATCAAGCCGCGGAAAAACTCCCGGAAGCCTTCCGCCGGGGCACTTTAGAGCTTCAAAATAGTGTAATAAGGAAACAATAATAAGGAACCCCAAAAGGTAGGTTCTTTAGGGTCCAGGTAGGGTTTAGGGTTTAGGGTTTAGAGCTTTAGTGTGGCTTCAGGCCTAGGAGCCCCTGAAAAGCACCTGGCTTGCGGTTTACCTTAACCCCAAAATAACCTACCTTTGTGAAGGACTTATAATAAGGAAACAATAAAAAGGAACCCCCAGAAAAAGGTAGGTTCTTTAGGGTCCAGGTAGGGGTCGTGGGTAACATAAACCTTTCTATAGACGGAGGTAGCTTTCAACAGTTCAGGCTCATGAGCTTCTTTGTTCCCCAACTGTCAGGGTTGCCAGGATTTCCGAAGACAGGCTGAGTAAGGCATTCATGATGCTCCTTCATGAGGCAGGTGGCGAGTTCAGTTAGGCTTGATCTACCTATAGTCTCCAATGTAGTTCCTTTTTTGGTTTAACCAAATTTATATTAAGGATCCTAAAAGGTAACCCCAAAAAGGAACTATACCTGACTCGGTAGCTGCAGGCTTATGAATTGCATTGGTCGGTCTGGAGGGGCCAGTCTCGGGCTTGGGAGGTTGCAATATAGCGGGTTTTAATGTAGTTTGCTTGGGGTCGTGGCGCCTCTTACCGTATAATGAATAATCTAATGATTATATATACATCTAATATATATATATATATATAAAGACATATATATACACACACACACATTTACCTATAAGAGGGAACGAAAGGAATCATATTCGTGGGTATCAGATGACTTGACTATGTCGTTGTTCGGCGAGGTTGGAGTTGGGCTAGCTGTTGTCTCGGGTTAGGGTTCGTGTGTGGTGCTTTCTCTGCCATGTGTCGAGAGATCAAGCCGAAACCTGCAGTCAGCCGCCCGGGCTTTATGTCTGCTCAAGGTTTAGGGCTGTTCAGGGGGTTGGGCTGCCCGTTGGGGCCCCCCGATGGGTTACATCAAGTTCTGGGTTTCGATCTCATTCTCTGTCTTCCTCGCATAACTTATAATGGTGGCCGGACCTCCCCTTCCATCCCAAAGCCACAACCCGCCAGGCCGCTAAGGGAAACGACCTCTGATACTCCGACAAACCCTCATCTAGGGGCCTCAATAATCAGAATAATGTTATGTGGCCCATTGTACTATAATTCTAATAAGGAACCCCTCCCAAAATAGTATAATGTAATTATCCAGGCCCCTATATCAAATCCTAAGAACGCCCCAAACTCTACCCCTTCCCGCCCTTCCCCTGTCCCAAATCCCGTCTCCAGACCTAGCAGCCAGGAGTTGCCACCTTCACGGAGAAAGATCCGGTTTAGGGTTTAGGGTTTAGGGTCTAAGGTTCGAGGAAATAGAAAAGCCTTCTTGGGATAAGGTTCTGGGGTATACTGTATTTTACGCAAACATGCATCTATACATACATGCATGATTGCATGCGTGCATGCA